GCGTCCCGAAGGAGCGTGCGTGCCCTGGCTCTTGCACAAAGGAGCTCGTGCGTGCCCTGGCTCTTGCACAAAGGAGCTGCGGAGGACAGGAGGCTCCCGCCTCCTTCCTTCAGGAGGGGCTTCCGGGCTGTAGACCACAGCGGGCACGGTCCGGGGGGCCAGGGGAGAGGACGAGCGAGCGGGCCAGGGAGGTCAGGGGGGGGGAGAGCGAGGGGGCTGGGTCCAGGGCAAGGGCAGGAGGGAGGTCAGGGGGGGGGAGAGCGAGGGGGCTGGGTCCAGGGCAAGGGCAGGAGGGAGGGCTGGGTCCAGGGTCAGACCAGAGGGCCAGGGAGGCCAAGGGGGGGCCAGAGAGGCCAGAGAGGGGGAGGGCGAGAGGGGCTGGGTCCAGGGCAAAGACAGGGGGGAGGGCTGGGTCCAGGGCAAGGCCAGGGGGGCCAGGGGGGAGGACGAACGACGAACGAACGAACGACGACGACGAAAAATAAGGATGGCGGAGGGGGGTAGGACGATGAACGGGAGGCCAGGGGGGGGAGAGCGAGGGGGGCTGGGTCCAGGGAGACGGTTAATGGTTAGGGAGGCCAGGGGGGGCGAGCGAGGGGAGCTGGGAAGGGCTGGTTCCAGGTCAAGGCCAGGACGGCCAGGGGGGAGGACGAACGACGAACGAACGAACAGCGACGACGAAAATAAGGAGAGGGCGGGGGGGGGAGAGGACGACGAATGGGAGGCCAGGGGGGGGAGAGCGAGGGGGGCTGGGTCCAGGGAGTGGGTTGGGGAGGCCAAGGGGGCGGAGAGCGAGGGGAGCTGGGGATGGCTGGGTCCAGGGCAAAGCCAGGACGGCCAGGGGGGAGGACGAACGATGAACGAACGAACGACGACGACGAAAATAAAGAGGTCCGAGCTCAGAGCACAGCTGTGCAAGAGAATAATGTCGGCGGATGCCTGGGCCATCGTCACCACCACCATTCCAGGCCTTTCAGAGGGGATTCGAGCAGATGGGGTCGGAGGATCGCGCCGCATCGCCGACGCGTCGGCGATGTGGCTCGATGCCGAGCTCAATTTTCTCTGCGCTGTCGTCGCCGATGCATCGTCGATGCATCGGTGATGCATCGGCGATGCGGCGCGAGCCTTCGACCCCATCTGCCCCGACCCCATCCGGGAGGCCTCTAACTGTCGTCAGCATTATCAACATTTTAGAACGTGTGCCTTTATCGCAGCGAACTCGGGCGGAGTGCCCAAGGAGGACCGTTCTGCTGTTCCAGGCGGTCTTGACGACTTTGCCCATCCCTATTCGCCATGCGGGAAGCGGGTCCTGAGGGAAACGGTTCCTGAGGTCTTCCACTGTTTTTTGGGATCCTAGGGGTTTTCCCTGGGCCTTGAGACCGTCAAGCAAATATTCAGTATGAACAGATGGTCACTCGTTTACCGCAGGACTGGTTTCGTTCTCAGTAAATCCCGTTCCCCATGGGCGTCATCACCACCACTGCCATCATCATCATCATCATCATCATCATCATCATCATCATCATCATCATCATCATCATCATCATCATCATCATCATCATCATCATCATCATCCATATCATCATCATCATCGTCGCCGTCATCATCATCATCATCATCATCGTCATTATCATCATCATCATCATTATTTTCATCATCACTTCTATCATCATCAACGACAGCATCATCATGATCACCACCACCACCATCACCATCACCATCACCAGCACCATCATCATCATCATCACCATCATCCTTCTCATTAGCATCATCATCATCATCAACATTATCATCACCATCAGCGTCATCGTCATTACCATCACCAGCGCCACCATCGCCATCATCATGATCAGTAACGTGAACACCATCATCGCAATCATCACCATTAGTCATCATCAATACATCATCAATAGATCAACATCGTCATCGTCATCATCACCATCGTCATCATCACCCTCGTCATCATCATCGTCGTCTTCATCATCACCATGGCCATCATCTTCACCACCACCTTCATCACCATCATCGTCACCATCACCATCGTCATCATCATCGTAGTCGTCATCATCATCGCCTTCACCATCATCTTCACCACCACCATCATCATCATCATCGTCACCATCACCATCGTCATCATCATCGTCGTCATCATAATCGCCTTCACCATCATCTTCACCACCACCATCATCATCATCATCATCATCATCATCATCATCATCGTCGTCTTCACCACCGCGATCATCATCATCGCCATTGTCATTATCATCAGCATCATCAGTATCATCATCATAATCGTAATCATCATCATCGTCATCGTCATCGTCGTCACTATCATCTGCATTATCCCCATCCCCATCCTCATCATCCTTACCATCAGCATCACTATCGCCACCATTACCATAATCATTAGTATCATCATCACCATCACCATCACCGTCACCATCATCATCATCATCATCATCATCATCATCATCATCATCATCATCATCACCATCATCATCATTAGCATCATCGTTCTCATGATGTTCATCATCGTCATCTTCTGCAGCATCCTCATCAGCTTCATTACCACCATCATCATCATCAGCATAGTCGTCGCCAACATTCGTCGTCATCCTCATCATCATTGCGGTCATCATCGTCCATACCATTGTCATCCTCCTCTGAGCCCGCGTGTCTTTATCGAAGCGCTCTCAGTCGGCGTGCGTCAGGATGGGCGTTGTGCTCTGTCGGGCGGTCTCGACGAGTGCGGCCCGCGGAGCGGCCAGCTGTCTCACATCGGAGCAGCAGATCATGTGAGATCGGCCGTTTGCTCAATTTTACGAGCACTCTGGTCGGGGCAGCCTCAGAAGTTTCTGTGGGAACGCGCCATGACGCGGATAGCAATCTGAATGCAGCAAGTAGTCTCGTGTCAAGTTGTATGACAGAGAGCGATTTCGATCAAAGGTGCTGCTCTGCGACCACTTCCTGTGCTCCTTGTTTGTCGCCGCCGCATGCGTCCATAATAGCGCTAATGAGGAAGATACTACGGCGGGCCATGCGTCTCACGTGAGAGCGGCGGCCCACATGCTGCGAGGTCTGATCAGCTTCGTGGAGGACTCTACCATGTGCGCGGGCCTCCGTGTGACGGCCAACGGGTTCTTTGCTCTAGAGCCCTTGAGGTGCTCCGCACGACGGTAGTTCCGATAAAGTTGGCAAGATGCGTGCAGCAATGCCGACTCGTTGGTTCTCCGTTGTCGGCCGCGACGACAGCGTCCCTCCCTGGTGACTCGCAGGCTCGCCGTCTCGATCCAGTGCTTGAAGGTCTTGCTAGGCGTGCAATGAGAGGCGAGTGGAGAAACACGCTGATCATGGCCAAGCTGTCGTGGGATCTTGTCGACGCCGGCGTTGGTCATGGTCCATGCCAGCCGTCGCCGATTTGCGAGGATCCACAAATCGACTGTGACCATGATGGACGGTGACCAAGATCGGCACCGACATTTCAGCATTCAGTCTTGGTCACGGTCACCACTTTCGTTCCCTCCAGAGAGGGGCAGCCTTTTGGGAAAACAGGCCCCAGGGGTTGTCCGCTCGATGTCTTCGCCAGACATTTTGAAGTATTGGAAATTGCCAACAGTACCAGTGGAGCCAATGCTGCGCTGTTTCGTAAGGCTTCAAAGATGCGTAAGCGTCCCTGATTAGCACAGACAGGTCCTCGCCCAGGTCACCTCTTGGGATCCTTCAAGGGGTGCTATTCCTTGTGATAGCGATTACCTTTGGAAGCCGTGAGACCAGTAGTGATGTGGATGCCGATTTTCTGAATTTCCGACTGTCTTCGTTATCATTTCCAAGTCCTAAATTGTTCGTTTGTCGCGAAACAATGCTCTAGAGGTCACGTAGGATCACTTCAACTTTGTGATCGGAACGACTCGTGCGCGGGGCGGTTTGGTTGGTGGATGCGTGTGTTTCCTAGATGGCTAAACTGCGGGTGCTGGATTTCCCACAGAGTGAACGGAGCTCCACCATGCTGAACACTGGCCAGGGATGATGATGATGATGATGATGATGATGATGATGATGATGATGATGATGATGCTGATGCTGATGCTGATGCTGATTCTGATGCTGATGCTGATGCTGCTGCCGGTGATGATGATGATGATGATGATGATGGTGGTGGTGGTGATGATGATGATGCTGCTGCTGATGATGATGATGATGATGATGACGAGGAGGAGGAGGAGGAGAAGGAGGAGGGGGAGGCAAAGGAGGAGAAGGAGGAGGAGGAGGAGGAGGCAGGAGGCAGGAGGAAGGAAAGTGATGAGGACGAGGAGGAGGAGGAGGAGGAGGGGGGAGGATGAGGAGAGAGGAGGAGGAGGAGGAGGAGGAGGCAGGAGGAGGCAGGAGGAGGACGACGAAGAAGACCTGCAGCTTCGGCTCCTCCTCCCCCTCCCTCCCTCCTCTCTACCCCTCCTCCCGCTCAGGAGGGCGCCCTAGGCTGGCCCAGGCTTACTGCTCGGACAGTCCTTCCACATCCTATGCAGAGAGAGTCCTGGCCGTCGCCACCGCTTTGCCTCTGCCGCTCTCAATTGCCCTCCGACTTGGTTGGTCCTGGCCTTGGCTTCTTCCTCCTTTTCCGCCTCCTCCGCCTTCTCCTCCTTCTTCCCCTCCTACTCCTCCCCCTCCTCCTCCTCCTTCCTCCTCCTCCTCCACCCCTCCTCCCGCTCGCACGCTCCTCCTTCTCCTCCTCCTCCTCCTCCTCCTAATCTCTTCCTCCGAGCCCGTCCCTTCCTCCTCCTCGTCCCTCCTCCTCCTCACTATCGTCATCCTCCGCTCTCCCTCTCCTCTTCCTCCCCCCTCCCCCTCCCCCTCCTCCTCCTCTTCTCTCATCTCCTCTCTCATCCTCTTCCTCCTTCTCCTCCGCCTCCTCCTCCTCTCCTCCTGCTGCTGCTGCTCCTGCTCCTCCTCCTCCTCCTCCTCTTCCTGCCACCTCCTCCCTCCATGGCCATCCCATCCCGCAGGTTGTCATGCCCAGGGTGGCCGTCGCGCCGACGATGGCCACAGGCGCGACGGCTGCTGCTGTTTCCGCGCCCGTTCTCCTGCCTTGGCGGCCCGGGTTGACGGGCTCTAGTACAGTCGCAGGGAGCCGTTTGGCGGATCGCCCCTTTTCCTCCTTCGTTCCCTTCCTCCCCTTTTCTCCTCCCCTTCTTTCCTTAGTACCTCCTCCTCCTCCTCCTCCTCCTCCTCCTCCTCCCACCTTATCCTCCTCCCCTCCTCCTCCTCCTCCTTCTCCTCCTCCTCCTCCCTCCTCCTCTCCTCCTCCTCCTCCCCCTCCCTTTCCTCCCTCCTCCTCCTCCACTCCTCCTCTTCTCCTCCTCACTACCTCCTGCTCCTCCTCCTCCTCCTCCTCCTCCTCCTCCCTCCTCCTCCCCTCGTCCTCCTCCTGCCTCCTCTCCTCCTACCTCCTCATCCTCCTCCTCCTGCCTCCTCCTCCTCCTCCTCCTCCTCCTCCTCCTCCTCCTCCTCCCCCTCGCCCTCCTCAGGCCCAGACGCTTTCGCGCCGCGAAGCAAGATCGCGACGGAAGGTTTTCTTGCCAGGACGTCGACAGAAACGGCGTGGGATGAAAGACTGGTCCCGGGTGCGGGCCAACGTTGTGCGCAAAAAATCACGGCGGGGGTCTGGATCCTCCTCCGTCCCTCCTGCAGGCTGCTGTCGTCACGCCGTGCCGTGGGCGGCGCTGCAAGCAGTCTGGGGCTGGCAGGTCGAGGTGCTTGCCGCTCCGGTTCCGACAGGGCCGACCTTGACCACGGCGGCGTCGCGCAAACGGCGAAGCCGCGGCTCTCGTGCTCCGTTTTCCCAACCATCCTGTGCTGTTGGGTCTTCGTTTTGAAGAGACGGTTCCCCGTTTTCCTCCTCCTCCTCCTCCTCCTCCTCTCCTCCTCCTCCTCCTCCTCCTCCTCCTCCTCCTCCTCCTCCTCCTGCCTGCTCCCTGCATTTCACCCATCCAGTACAGCGTTTCGTGGCCCCATAGGGAGCTCCACCTAAGGTCCCAGTGGCGGAACTCGCATGCGGTACCCACGCCCATTTGGGCACACCCCTCACACGTTTCGTGGCCCCATAGGGAGCTCCACCTAAGGTCCCAATGGCGGAACTCGCATGCGGTACCCTCACCCATTTTGGCACACACCTCACAAGTTTCGTGGCCCCATAGGTAGCTCCACCGAATGCCCTAGTGGGGGTGCCAGGACCCAACACCACGAGCCATGAGGGGCGCCAGTGGCAGCTTCCCTCATGGCTCTCAGAGCCCTCTCCTGCTTCTGCTCCTCGGCCAGGGGGGCGCCGTCCTCGTCGTCGCCGGCGCCCGCGAAGACGGCCGTGAAGGTGTCCCTGAGCATGTCGGGCTCCGGCGGGAGTCCGTGGCCACATAGGGAGCGTGGGCGAAGATGGTACTCACAAGTGCGGTATTCACAACTGCGTATGGTTGGGTCTATCGCCTGGCTAATTTTTCCCCCCGTCGCTGGAGGGCTGCTTCGGTAGCAATTCGTGGGAGCCTTGTATGCCCTCGTGGTTCCGTCTCTAGCGGGCATTTGCATGAGCTAGCGTCTGGTAATCGATGAGAAGGCGCCGATGTAGTCTCGATTAGCGTGGTTTTAGCGTCGATCAGCGTCGATCGGCGTCGGTTAGCGTCGATTCGCAAGAGCCAGCAAGATGGCATGGGAGGCCCCCGTGAGATGCCACCGGAGATGGGCCACTCTGACAATACGTTGTACACTGCGTGGCACAATCGCCGCACTCGGCACGTGCCAGCCCGCACGTTGTCCTCCGGTCTGGCCAGGCTTCGCCGGGCATCGACCCCGCCGACTGGCCTGCGGCTCGCGTGCCGCCGAGCGCGGGCAGAGTCCAGCAGCACGCCGAAGCCGTGCCGGGCGTCTCCTCTGCGCAGGGGCTATCGCGCTCTGCGCATGCACCGCGTCGAGGTCCTCGATGTTGGCTCCGTGCTCTCTGTGTCGTACTGTACTTCGCAGGACTTGCGTGCGTTGCTCTGCCTGCGGAGTCGCGTGGCTTGGTTCCCGCGGACTCGTCGCTCCCTGGGTCGGTCGTCCCTCGTGTGCCTTCGCCGCCCCCCTGGGTGCCTGCCCGGAAGCCTATCCTCAGGCGCACACGCTCGAGGTCTTCACGGTCTGAGGGTGCTACGCCGCCCGCGGCGCCCTTCCCCCACCCTCCTCTGGCCTCGCCTGTCCCCCCCCGCTTCAATTCGCCACGGATGCGTCCCGCCGTTTGCTTCCACCGCTGCTTGGATCGAAGTGGCCGCCGACCCAAGCACATCTGCGCAGGGCAGATCTGTTTTTTTCGATCCCGGCGCTTTTCTCCGATGTCGGCATCCGAGGGCTGCTTTCAGGTCCCAGAGACCACCAAACACGGATCCAGTGCAGAATACCAGCCCCGGGGAAGGGGTCGGGAGCTTTGGCTGGCCACTGCAATGGGTGTGGCCATGCCAGGGCGTTAGTTGTGATCGGCGCCGTTGGGGTTTATGGGGCTCGCCACGTTGCGCCAAAGGCTTGATGAGCCCTCGTCGGGGTGCGGCCGAGGTCTCTGTCGAGGTCTTCGCCCGCGGGTCGCAGACCACACCCTTCGGAGTCGCCGATCTGGGGCCGCGTCGGATGTCTGGCTCAGCGCTCGGCCCAACCGCCCAGGACTCGCCCCTGGCATCCTGTCCAGCCAGCTGGGCCAGGGCTGCGGGCTGGTGCACCCCGCGGGGCTGGCCGTTGGCCGCCCGCCCACCGCCATGCCCCAGGCGGCCTCGGGTGGCGACGACGACGTCGTCGACGGCGGCGACGACGGCGAGGGTGAGGGCGAGGGCGAGGGCGAGGGCGACGAGGACGACGACGCGACGACGACGACGAGGGCGACAAGTTTGGCAGGGTTGGGCAGGAGGGCGCGGCGCGATCAGTTGGCTTGTGGGGCTGTGATGTATACGTCGGAGTAGACATAGAAGTCTGCACGCTTCGTGTATCCCCACCAGCTCGTTTAGAAACGTCCCAGAGAGCTGACGGGAAAAAAGAGACGAAGAGACACACATAGTGAAACAAAGCGGGCAAAAACTATGAACGGAGCGCCTCCGCGGGCCATCCCTGGGCCCCGCGGGGGGGCGATGGGGAGGAGGAGGAGGGGGAGGAGGAGCAGGAGGGAGGAGGAGGAGGAGGTCCAGGAGGAGGAGGAGGAGGAGGAGCAGGAGGACGAGGAGAAGGAGGAGCAGGAGGAGGGGAAGAGGAAGAGGAGGAGCGAGGAGGAGAAGCGGAAGAGGGGTAGGAAGGAGGATGAGGACGAATAACAATGATAATATTAGGAGGATGAGGCGGAGGAGGATGATGAGGAGGATGGGAGGAAGAGGAGGAGGAGGATGAGGAGGAGAAGGAGCAGGAGTAATGATGCTGATGATGATGATCTGCTGCTGCTGATGATGATGATGATGACTGATGATGCTGATGATGCTGATGATGAGATGATGATGATGATGATGGATGATGATGATGATGATGATGATGATGATGATGATGATGATGATGATGATGATGATGATGATGATGATGATGATGCTGATGCTGATGATGATGATGATTATGATGATGAATGATGATGATGATGATATGAGAATGATGATGATGATGATGAGGATGATGATGATGGATGATGATGATGAGATGATGATGATATGATGCATATGATGATGATGCTGAGGATGATTATGATCATGATGATGATGCTGCTGCTGATGATGATGCTGAGGCACAGGAGGATGAGGAGGAGGATGAGGAGGAGGATGAGGAGGATGGGAGGAGGGGGAAGGGATGAGGAGGAGGAGGAGGAGGAGGAGGAGGAGGAGGAGGAGGAGGAGGAGGAGGAGGATGAGGAGGATGGGATGGGTGGATGATTTGATGCTGATGCTGATGCTGCTGCTGCTGCTGCTACTGATGATGATGATGATGATGATGATGATGATGATGATGATGATGATGATGATGATGGTGATGATGCTGATGATGATGCTGCTGCTGCTGCTGATGATGATGATGATGATGATGATGAGGAGGAGGAGGAGGAGGAGGAGGAGGAGGAGGAGGGAGGAGGATGGGTGGAGGAGGAGGAGGAGGAGGAGGAGGAGGAGGAGGAGGAGGAGGTGGAGGCGAGTCGCCTCTTGGCGCCCTCGTTGGACGCTCTTGGGACGCTCTTGGGCGCTCTTGAGACCCTCTTGGGACCGTCTTGGGGCCTTCTTGGGGCCGTCTTGGGGCTCCCTTGCGGCCCTTTTGGGCTCACTGGATGGCCTGGCCGTCGATCAAAAGAGGGGGGGTCCGATGCTAGCCCTTTATGGGCGCTCTTTGGCTGCTCATGGCCGCTCTTGGGGCCATCTGGGGGGCCTCTTGGCCCTCTTGGGCCTCTCTTGGGCCATCTTGTGGCCATCTTGAGGCCTTACAGGCGCATCGGAATCGAAAAGGTGAGGAGGCAACAACCATTGACTTTCTTCAGACTCTTGAGAGATTTTTGCCTCATTGGGGGTCCCGAGGGGCTCCGAGGGCACTTTGAACCATCTTGTGGCCCTCGTCGGGCCTCTTGGAGGTATGTCGGAAGCTACCTTGAACCAACTTCGGCGGTCTTGAGCCATCTTAGAGGCCATCTTGGAGGATCGGAGGCCCTCTTGGAGCCACCTTGGGCCACCTTGGGCGCTCTGACCGAGCGCACACGCCTGAACAACCTCAGGGAGGGGAGGGGGAGGGTACCCCTCCCCGAAGGGAAGAGGGTTTTGGAAGAGGAAATGATGATATCGTCAGACCAACTTAGCCCAAAGGGCTGGTGGTGTTCCGATGCTCGAAGAACAACTGCCGGCATAGACACAGACTTTCGGAGATCGGGGAGTCTATGTTTATGCATTTTTTCCTGCGTGTGCAGACAATGCCGACCGCTGTTCGCCCTGGAGAGCCTTCGTCACGCTGGACTCTCCTCGAAGCTCTCTCTGGTCGGAGCGTACCCTGGGACAGGTTCAGGGGGTAGCGGGGCATCGGTCCTTTTTCTTCCTCCAAGTCGAGTTTATAGAAGCAGGATGTGCAGGGACATGCTCAATGCAGCTTTGAACCGGTGCTAAGCAGGCTTATTTGGTTCGGTCAGGATCCGACCGAAGAGAGACCGCGAATGGCCACGGGCTAAGATGGAAGTGTCATATCCCTATTCATATATTTTTATAGGGCTGGAGACCCCAGAAAAAGCGCCCCCCCCTCTACCCTGGACCTTTTTCGGGCAGCCCCCCAGACGACCTGGGAGGACCTCGCGAGAGCCCGAAGACGGCCCCAGAGGGCCCCCGACGTTCTGGCGCGCTCCCGAAACGACTCCAGAGAGCCCCGAGACGGTCGACGGCGACCCCACAGGAGCCGTCATACCCCCAACGATCGCTCCAAAACGTCCCAAGAGGCCTCCAAGAGAACTCCCAAGAGCAACATTCATTGATTTTCCGTTGGTTTGTGGGGGCTGTGGGAGTTCTCCACTTTTCGGCTTCCCGACGCTCCAAGACGGCCCACGAGGCCCCTAAAATCGCCCTAAGATGGCCCGACAGACCTCCAAGAGGGCCCCAAGCTGGCCCAATAGGGCACCGAAACAGTTCCGACACAGCCCCAGGAGGCCCCAGGAGGCTCCCAAGAGGCCCCGAAGAGGCCCCAAGAGGCCCCCAAGAGGCCCCCAGGAAGCCCTAAGAGGCTCCCAAGAGTCCCAAAAGATCCCGCAAGGACCCGTCAGAAGTTCGAGATCGCTCCAATACGTCCCAAGAGGCCTCCCAGAGCACTCCCAAGATGGCCCCACGAGGCAAAATCCATTGAGTTTCAGTTGGTTCGTGGGGGATTTTTGGTTCTCCCCTTTTCGGCTTCCCGACGCTCCAAGACGGCCCACGAGGCCCCAAAGATCGCCCTACGATGGCCCGACAGCTCTCCAAGAGGGCCCCAAACCGGTTCAAGATGGCCCTAAACCGGCCAAAGAGGGCGCCAAAATAGTTCCGAAAGGGCCCAAGGAGGCCCCAGGAGGCTCCCAAGACGCCCCGAAGATGCCCCAAGAGGCCCCCAAGAGGCCCTCAGGAAGCCCCGAGAGGTCCCCAAGACTCCCAAAAGATCTCCACATCAGTTCGAAAACTCCCGAAAAGGCCCCCAAGACAGACCCAAAACGGGCCAGGAGTCCGAACATGACCCCAAGACAGCCCAACAGAGCCAATACGCGTCCCAAGACGGGCCCAAGCCATAACGAGACTGCACCACGTCCCACAGAGGCCCTCAGACGGCTCCGGGAGGCTCCAATAAGGTCCACGTGACGTGAACACTCTGAACGCGAGACCTCACAAGAGCGTACGGCGGCGCAAAACATCTTTGGCGCCGAGATAATCGAGCCCTGCTGCGACACGGTTCCGAGGCCCCCCAAGGCCCTCACACGGCTTTTTCCATAGTCCCACAGACACGGTCATTGGTAAGCCCGGGTCGACATTCCACATTCTGCCGTGTTCTCCATGCTGTTTCTACTCAAATCTTTCTGCTTTCGCGAGCCCTTCAAAGCGTTTCTGGCCACTCCCTTTCTGGCCACGACCGCGTACATGTATGTAGACGTGCATATGTCTATGCGTAGATCTGCCCAAGTGGACATAATTTACATATGTATGCGCAATCATGGATCTGAAAGTACATACATGTATATCGATGTGTGTGTACGTACATTAATGTACCCATACACGTGTTATATATGTCTGGCGTGCATGCACGTGCGCGCGTATGACATTTATGCACATTTTCGCGCGCATGTGCACGCGCACGCACGCCGCCGGCGTGCGAAACTCGAAGGACCAAGGTGCATGGCGCGAAGCGCCACTGCAGTCTGGTGTGTATATATATATATATATATATATATTTTTGTATTTATAGATTTATATGTGTACACATTCTGGTTGGCGCAAATTGGGGTCCAGCCACTTGGGGGTGGTGCTTCAGATCTGGTGCAGTAGATTTTTGTGGGTTGCAACCCACAAAAATGGTTTGCATGGGCTGCATGGGTTTGCGGCCAGAGTTTCGGCCACGTTCGCAGTACAACCCTGCTACGCGTGCGGTTGCTTCGCGAGCTCCCGAGTCCAGGGCTATTGCATGTTTTTGCGTTTCGGGCCCTCCGTGCAATGCACGTTGCCCATCAGTCGAGTGCGATCGTCACTGTCTGAATGGGGGGGCAGTTTATACGGGCCGGCTGCACACATCAATTTTCTGAAAATGGGCTCTCGGGCCCACCTCGCGGCAGTAGCCACGTCCGCGCGCGGCAAGATGGCATGCGCCAGGCGCCAGGCGCGGGCGATCGCCTCTCCTTCCTGTTCCCTCTCCTCCTCCCTCCCTCCCTTTCGGCCTTACTCCTCACTCGAGGTGCGGAGTTCGGACTCCGCGCGTTAATTGGCGGTGGCGCCGGTGCACGCGGAGGTGGCTGGTGGAGGGCCCCCCGGTCTCGCCGACCGCTCCCCGTCCAGGGAGTCGCCAACGAGCCCGCACTGTCCTTTTTTGCCGGCCGCCTGCAGGGCCATCCTTTCACCCAGACTGTCTTCAGCATGCTGCGTCCTTCTCGGCCGTGAGCGGACGCATTGCGGTCTCAGCGCACTTTGCCTTCCTCCTCCCCTTCTTGCGGCTGCCTCATTTGTGCCTGACGGGGGTTGTCGGGAACGCAGCCTGATACTTGTCTACCTTGGTTGGATGTGGCGACGTCTACCCAGCCGGCCACTTTCGATCTCTACAGCTCTGGAGTTTCAACGCGTTTCGCTGCGGGTCCTCGTTGGGTGCGTTGATAGCCCCCTCGAGGGGAAGCGGATCTGCCCCTCATCACGTCCTGTTTTGCTGCTTTCAAGTCAGGGTGGCATGGCCTCCGGACGCATCCTTTCCGACCGCAGGTCTCACTCGGGAAGCAAGGGCGATGACGGTCCTGCGGCAGGGTTGCCTGTCGTCTCCCCGGCACGTTACACGTGATGGTTGCATGCGGGCGTGCGCGTTGTCTCCCTCTCGCCTCTTCCTCCCTCTTCTCCAAAATAGCGCTGAAGCAAAAAAAAAAGATTTTTGTGGGTTGCAAAGATTTGGGGCGTGCAACACATTCCGGGGCGAACATGTATTGCTGGATTTTCGCTTGTAGTGCATTTGTTGCAATCCAATGTGATCCACTTCTATGGCGCAATACATTTGCAATACAATTGTCACACATCTGTGGCACCACCCCTTTTCAGCTGGATCCCCGTTTGGGCCAACCAAATACATGTGCGCAGGCGCCGTTGGAAAGCGAGGGAGGGGAAGAAAGGACGGGGGGAGGGAACGAGCGGTTTCCAACAACCGTATGCTTTGGCTGGCCGTCGAAGATCAGTCAAGTTGCAGCGCGTGTGCTCGGTTCTTTGTGAGCGCCGCGACGTTTGAGCCTCCGCAGTGATGGGCAGGCCGACCAACGTCGGTCGTGCAGGAGTTCCCAGAAGTCTCCACGCCAAGTGAAGCCAGCGTCACTCAATTTGAAGAGAGAGCGGATCAGACAGACGAGGGGTTTGCTAGGTTCAAGAGGGGGAGAAGGAGGAGGAGGAGGAGGAGGAGGAGGAGTAGGAGGAGGAGGAGGAGGAGGAGGAGGAGGAGGAGGAGGAAGGGGAGGAGGAGGAGGAGGAGGAGGAGGAGGACCAGGATGAGGAGCAGGAGGGGGAGAAGGACGAGAAGGAGGAGGATGAGAAAGGGAAGGAGGAGAACATCGACATTCGAGTCTGTGCAAGCCACGTCGATACCGATATTCTCTGTGGATTCCTGGTGCTAGCAAGGGGGTGAGGCGACAATTCGCGTGCTGAAAATGCCAGGGGCGGGAGGGAAGGAGGGAAGGAACTGGGAGGGAATGAAAAAGGTGTGTGTGTGTGACAAGGTGGGAGGGAGTGAATGACAGAGGTTTGAGGGGCAGAGTGGGAAGGACAGTAGGTGGGAGGAAGAGGATGACGATGATGGGATAACGAAGATGAAGGCACGGTAAAGTCGACGAACGACTCCGAATGCAATCATGAAGCCCGGTCTCCCCGCGAAGGTGGTCTGAGGCCAAGACGAAGATGAATGTGTAAGAGCGGGAGGAGGTCGGAGGCGTTGGAGTTGTTGGAGAGCGAGGGGTTCCGCTCGAAGTAGCTTCACCAGGATTGTCCACGTGTCTAACTAGTCAAGTGATCGGCGGACGGGCTTCTGATCCATCGAGGCGCTATTCGTTGGGCCACCCAAATCGGAGGTATCATTCAACGCTTGCGACGACACCCCATGCATTTGCGCAACAGCGCAGGGCATCGGCTTGAGGGCAGGGCAGCATGCCGTGCCGAGCAGGAGGATAATGATAGGAAGGATGATGGGGAGGAGGGTAAGACAGATGATGAGCAAAGCGGGATGTGAATACTAAGGGGAAGTTTTGACAAAGTCGATGTTTGCTTAGCTTTGCACGTGCGCGCAGCAAGGGCTGATACAGACTCAGTGCACTCGAGCATCGTTGCGCAAGTGCCGCTTCAGGTGGTGCGTGCTCCGCCAGCAGCCTTCCGGACCCAAGCTGCAGGCAAGCCTACCACTGCTAGCTGCCTGCGGCTGGTACCGTGATTAGTGATCGCAGCTGGCCGTCGTCTTTGGCCTCCCATGCCAGTGTTTTTTCCTATGCAGTGGTTTTCTTGCCGTGTCTGTTATCTATCGGCTGTCCTGGATGTCTGGCATCTCTCGCCACTGCTTCGTCGTCAATCGTTCATTGCCGTCGCGCCTGCTGCGTTTCTTGCTCGTTTCGCAGCTTGCCTCGCTCAAGTTAGACTCTCGTGGCCATGCTTTTTTCAGGTCGCAGCCGCCGCTGCCGTTCGGCCGCTGGCGGCGTCGTCGTTGTCGTCCCTCCTCTCTTCTGGTCATCCTCCTGGACTCTTGGCTACATGGGCGCGGTTACGACTGTTAACAGGACCGCGCAATCCGCCTCAGAGAAGACGCCAAGCCTTGGTGTCTTCTCTGAGGAGGAGGAGGAGGAGGAGGAGGAGGAGGAGGAGGAGGAGGAGGAGGGGGAGAAGGACGAGGAGGAGGAGGAGGAGGGGGAGTAGGACGAGGAGGAGGTCCTCAGAGAGGACGCCAAGGAGACACGGCCGGGGATTTTTGGTTCGAGCGTCGCTCCGCCAGCTCCGGCCCGCCGCGCTCCGGCGCGGCACGCTGTCCACACGCGTTCCAGCCCTCGGCCGTCCACGTCCCGAGCTCTGCCCCTCCGCCCCGCGGAGCGGAGCGACGCGCGATGCGTTCGCGGGGCGTGGCGTGTCGCCGGGCCGCCGCCGCGACACGCTGCGCAGACGTTTTTCGACAATGTGATGAAGATGCTGATGATGATGATGATGATGATGATGCTGCTGCTGCTGATGATGATGGTGATGCTGATGATAATAATGATGATGACGACGACTATGATGATCATTCTAATGGAACATAAGATGATGATGATGATGATGATGATGATGATGATGATGATGATGTTGGTGATCGTGAAGCTGCTGCTGATTATGATGATGATGAAGATGATGATGATGATGATGATGCTGATGTTGATGATGATGATGATGATGATGATGATGATGATGATGATGTGAGGATGATGGTGCTGATCATATTGATGATGCTGCTGATGATGACGATGCTGCTGATGATGATGATGATGGTGATGATTGTGATGACGATGACGATGATGATGCTGCTGATGATGATGTTGTTGATGATGGTGATGATTCTGATGACGATGATGAACTTGAGGATGATGGTGATGATGAAGATGATGCTGAGGATGAAGATGACGACGACGATGATGATAACGAGGATGATGATGCTGATGCTGATGCTGATGCTGATGATGATGTGAGGATGGTGATGATGATGCTAATGATGATGGTGATGACGATGATGTCGACGATGACGACGATGCTGATGACGATGATCATGCAGATCCTAATGGTGCTGCTGATGATGATGACGATGATGATGATGATGATGATGCAGATGAGGAATCTGATGATGTTGAAGCTGATTATGATGATGTGAGGATAATGGTGCTCATGATGCTGCTGATGATGATCATGGTGATGGATGTGATGACGATGATGATGCTACTGGTACTGATGATGATGATGATGATGATGATGATGAGGATGGTAATGTTGATGATAATGATTAAGTTGTTGATGATGGTGATGATGATGAGGATGCTTATTCTGATGCTGATGGTGCTGAGGATGAGGATGGCGACTACGATGATGATAACGATGATACTGATCTAGATGATGATGATGATGATGCTGATGTAGATGAGGCTGATTCTCATTCTGGTGCTGATGACACTGTAAGATTGTTGATGATTCTGCTAATGATGATGATGATGATGATGATGATGATGATGATGATGAGGGCGATTGGTGATGATGACGATGATGATGCGGATAATGATAATGGTGATGATGACGTTAATGACCATGATGATCAAGATGCTAAGTCCGATGCTGATGACAATGATGATGTCGATGATGCTGGTGATGCTGATGATTATGAGAGGATGCTTGTGCTGATGACGATGATGATGATAAGGATGTTGGTGATGATTGTAGTGGCGACGACGACGATGCTGATGAGGCTGATGCTGTGATGCCGATGCTAATGATGGTGATGATAACGAGGACGATGTTGATGATGATGCTGATGATGACTTGAGGATGGTGATAATGATGCTACTGCTGATAATGGTGATGCTGGTGAGTTCGAAGACCACGACGACGATGATGATCCTGCTGATGATGAGGACGATGACGATGACGATGATGATATGATGATGGTGATGGTGATGATGATGATGATGATGATGATGATGATGATGATGATGATGATGATGATGATGATGATGATGTCGATGCTGATGGTGTTTATCATTCCAATGATGCTGAAGATGCTGCTGCTGATGATGATGCTGATACTCATGATGATTCTGATGCTGGTGATGACGATGCTGATGATGCTGAGGATGGTGATGCTGATGCTGATGACGATGCTGATGCTGATGCTGATGCTGATGCTGCTGCTGCTAATGATGCTGCTGCTGCTGATGATGATAATGGTGATGATGATGCTGATGACGACGATGATGATGATGATGATGACGATGATGATGATGATGATGATGCTGATGCCGATGATGACGCTGATAATGATGATGATGATGCTGATGATGCTGATGAGGCTGATTATGATGATGCTGATGATGATGATGCTGATGCTGATGCTGATGATGACGATGATGATGATGATGATGATGATGATGATGATGATGATGATGATGAGGATGCTGATGCTGATGCTGATGCTGATGCTACTGCTACTGCTGCCGCTGCTGCTGCTGCTGATGATGATGATGATGATGATGATGATGAGGAGGAGGATGAGGAGATAACAAGAGGAGGAGGAGGATGAGAGGATTAGGTGATAGGAGGAGCAAAAGCAAAGCAGGGAGGACAAGAGCAGGAGATGAGGAGGAGGAGGAGAAAAGAGAGGAGGAGGATGAGGAGGAGGAGGTGGAAGGAGGATGAGGAGGAAGGAGGAGAGGAGGAGGAGGGGGAGGAGGAGGAGGATGAGGAGGAGGAGAGGATTGAGGAGGAGGAGAGGAGGAGGAGAGAGGAGGAGGAGGAGGAGAGGAGGAGGAGGAGGAGGAGGAGGAGGAGAGGAGGAGGAGGGGGAACTGAGAGGGAGGGAGGAAGGGAGGGAGGGGGGAGGGAGGCGGGAGGAAGGAGGAGGGAGGAGGAGGAGGGAGGAGGGAGGGGGGAGAGGAGAGGGAGGAGGGAGGAGGAGGAGGAGGCAGGAGGAGGGAGGAGGGGGAGGGAAGGAGGAGGAGGAGGGAGGAGGGAGGAGGGAGGAGGGAGGAGGGAGGAGGAGGGAGGAGGGAGGAGGAAGGAGGAGGTGGAGGAGGAAGAGGAGGAGGTCGAGCCCGAGCTTGAGCCAAAATGGCTACGGATGGGGGGAGGGAGGGAGGGAGGGCGGGAGGGAGGGAGGAGGGAGGGAGGAGGAGGAGGGAGGGCTGCCATCAGCCGAGATGCCAGCACCAAAGCTGGGGCTCTCAGCGACGGCTGTTCCTGCAATTCCGAGAGCACGGCATCGCCATCAGCGAAACGACAAAGCAATTCATCATTCATGTCATCCAACTCTTTCGTATCTTGTGAAGCACCCGACTGCACGCCCGTGGCAAGGCCTTCATTAGCAGCCGCTAGAAAAGAGGGAATCGTGCAAACAGCAACGCCTGCAACATCCAGTTGCTCCTCAAAGACGGGCTCGATCACATGCGAAGCCTCCTTTCTTATGTTTCTTATTGCGCCAATTTGTCTTCTTCTTTTACTTCGGGGCAACGTCCGTAGCGCCAGCTGCCGCCGAGGGTAAAGAGGAAGACGAGGAACCCACATCACACGCGATATGAACACCGCCACTGGGCTGACGTGTCAGAGACACCGCCATTGCGGGCTGACGTGCCAGGGCCAAAGGAAGAGACATCGCCACTAAGGGCTGGCATGTCACAGGCCTCAACACCGATATGCGACTCCAGGGCACCGCCACTATCAGCTGACATGCCAGAGCCTTCCTGCGAGACACCGCCACTGAGGGCTGACATGTCGGGGGCTACACCTTCGCCACCAGCATCAGGAAAATCCCCGTCGCCAATGTAGAAGATCAGCGCCTCCGAGGTGGCGTCCGTGGGATTCGCGATCCTGCCGGCGGAGTCGGAGGCGCCGGCGGTGTAACCAGGACAGGCGGCTGAGGGGGCCACCAACCCATCGCCATAGCTGCGACATACGCCATGTCTGGCTCCTGGCCAGCCGGCGACTCCTCCTTCAAGCGCTTGAGGATGCTCTTGTAGTCGTTCAGCATGTGCTTGCGGCGCCTCTTCCTGGGCGCCGTTGGGGTAGAAGTGCTCGTAGTAGCGCCCTGCGCGACCGAATAATCCAGCGTGTCCTCCTCCATGGCCTTGGGAAGCAAAGCCGGCTCCTCCGTAGCAGCCTGGATGGGAGACGAACTGGAAACCCCAAGCTGGGGGGAGAAGGGCGAGACCACTGGAGCTTCCACCTGCGGTGTCACCTGCTTGTCGAACTGCTCCTTCGCTGTTTGCTGCGCCTCCACAGCGAGGCGCAGGCGCTCCCAACGCGGGAGCTGCTTCACCGGCGCCTGCTCGAGCTGCTCCACCGCCGCGGGCTGCCGGCAGCCATGTGCCGGGGGCGGCGGCGGCGGCGGGTGGCAGAACCGGCGCTGCGAGTCCGCCATCGAGAAGAACAACGTCTAGTGAGCCGAAATGCGCTGCAAACGCTGCAACGCGCGCCCCGAGGTCGCCGTTGACGAGGTGCGCTGGCACGAAGATGCGCAACTCGGGATCCCTTGATACCATGCACCGGTATCCCCCAGCGTTCACTGCCGCACACCTGGCGGAAGCGCTCAAGCCAGCAGCACAATGGCCATCAGCCCTGGGGAAGGCGCGAGCCGGCAAGGATCCTGAAAAGGCTTGAGCCCGAGCTTGAGCCAAAATGGCTACGGATGGGGGGAGGGAGGGAGGGAGGGCGGGAGGGAGGGAGGAGGGAGGGAGGGGAGGGAGGGAGGGAGGAGGAGGAGGAGTAGGAGGGGAGGATTAGGAGAGGAGGAAGGAGGAGGAGGGATAGAGGAGAGGATGGGGAGGGGGGGCCCCCGTAGAGGAGGCAGGGAGGGTATGAGGAGAGAGGAGGGAGGAGGATGCGGAGGGGAGTAGGAAGGGAGGAGGAGGAGGAGGAGGAGGGGGAGGGGAGAGGAGGAGGAGGAGGAGGAAAGTATGGTGAGGAGGAGAGTATGAGGAGGTGGGAGAGGGCAGGAGGAGGAGAGGAGGATGAGGAGGGAGGAGTAGGAGGAGGAGGGGGAGGAGGAGGAGGAGGAGGGGAAGGAGTAGGAGGAGGAGGGAGGAGAGGAGGAGGAGGAGAGGAGGGAGGAGAGGAGGAGTGAGGAGGGGATGAGGAGGAGGAGGAGGAGGAGAGGAGGAGGAGGAGGAGGAGGAGGAGGGGAGGAGGAGGAGAAGGAGTAAGAGGAGATGGAGAGGCGGAGAAATGGATCAGTGCTGCGGAGGAGGGACGGCGGCTGGCAGCCAGGCGCCTCCCTCGGCGTGGCCCCGCCTCCGCCGCCCGCGGCCACCGCCGAGAACGCCCTGCAGTCCTTGCAGGCGACCCTACACATCGCCGCCGCCGCCGCCGTCGTCGTCGTCGTCGTCGTCGTCGTCGCCGCTGCCGCCGCCGCCGCCGCCGCCGTCGCCGTTGCCGCCGTCGCCGTCGTCGTCGCACCTCCCCTGTCGTCGCCCCGCCACTTGCCGGTGCCCGGCCTGCAGTGAAGAAAGGTATACCCCCCAAGAGGGGTACGATCGAAAACGAAGAGGGTGGGTATCGAGGGTTTGGGAAATACGTGTTAACGGACACTCGATCAGATAACAGCGAACATTCTTAAACTGGTTGTTGTTGTTGTTGTTGTTGCTGCTGCTGCTGCTGCTGCTGTTGTTGTTGTTGTTGTTGTTGTTGTTGTTGTTGTTGTTGTTGTTGTTGTTAGTAAGGGCGGGGCGCCCCGACCCGTGTCCCACAACCCCACCCTCCCCCCCGCAACACTCACAACAACTGGAATTCCTAAGGATTCCTAGGAATTCCTAAGGATTCCTAGGACTTCTTAAGGATTCCTAGGACTTCCTAAGGATTCGTAGGAATTCCGAAGGATCCCTAGGAATTCCGAAGGATTCCTAGGAATTCCTAAGGATTCCCAGGAATTCCTCGCTTCGCCGGTGCACACATTCTTTTTGCCGGCAGGAATTCGTTGGTGCCAGAGAGGAGGTCCGCAGATGTTCACAGAAATCGAATTCAAACGGCGTTGTTGTGGTGTTGTGTGGGGGGGGGTAGTTGTTGTGGTTGTTGCCGGGGGGGGGTCCCGTGACGGGTCGGCGCTGGCCGCCCTTGCTTTGTTGTTGTTGTTGTTGTTGTTGTTGTTGTTGTTGTTGAACTCTCATTCTTGAAGAATGATTATTGTTGATCCCCCCCCACCGGTGCACATTGATTTTTTCGATTGAAGTGCCACCCCCGGGGCTCGCACTTTGTTTCTTCTCAAGGAAAGTCTTCCTGCTCAAACTGTGCCCCTGCCCCCCGGGCTACAACAACAACGGCTCCCGCCTGAGACTTCCTCGATTTTTACTCAGGACCCCCGCTCCCGCCTGAGGCTGACGCGCAATGTACTCAGGAAAGGCGCCCCCGTCTGAGACTTCCTCGCAATGTAATCAAGACCCCCGCTCCCGCCTGAGACTTCCGCGCAATTTACGTGGGAACGGCGCTCCCGCCTGAGACTTCTTCGAATTTTACTCAGGACCCCCGCTCCTGCCTGACATTTCTGCGCCAATTGACTCAGGAACGGCGCTCCCGCCTGAGACTTCCTCGCAATTTAGTGAGGACCCCCGCTCCCGCCTGAGACTTCCGTGCAATTTGCTCAGGAACGGCGCTCCCGCTTGAGACTTCCTCGCAACTTAGTCAGGGCCCCCGCTCCCGCCCGAGATGTCCTCACAATGTACTCAGGACTGCGCTCTCGCGTGCGACGTCCTCACAAATTATTCTGGAATTGCGTTTCGGCGCTCAGGAACCACGCACGCGCCAAGGACGCCTTCACAACGTGGTATCTTCCCTCTTCCTTCGTCCTTCCCCCTCCCCTTCCTCCCACTCTCCCTCGTTCTTCCCCTCCTCCTCTTGCAGGGCCCGCGCCAATTCCAATGGCGGGCAGAGAGATGTACGCCCCCGAAGGATTGTCCGCCCGTTCCGGTTTGCCCGTACGTCTAAGCCCGCCGGCCCCAGCAAAGAGAAATAATCCCCCCGAAAGGGGTGTGATCGAAGACGAAGAGGGCGGGTATCGAGGGTGTAGGGTATACGTGTTGAATGACTCGCGGGCAAGTAAGAGCGTACAGCCTTAAAATGTTGTTGTTGTTGTTGTTGTTGTTGTTGTTGTTGTTGTTGTTGTTGTTGTTGAATATTATTACTTCTAAAGAAATATTATTGTTGAGACCCCTGGTGCGCGACCCCCCTCCAAAACCTAGGCCGCAGCCTCATTTCCTTCATTTTCTAGCGAAAGCTTCAGAAAAGTGGATTGTCACCGGATCCGGTTGTTTTGTTGTAATCCGTTTTCCCTTGCAAAAAACACTATAAAATGAAAATTCTTGTTCTTACTTGATCAAATTGCAAGAATCCCTTGCAAAAAATAAGGTAAAGTGGACATTCGTGCGCGCAAGACGAAATCCTTCCAAAACCTTAGGTTTCGTAGCGATTTTAACATAAAAACATCAAAAACCCAATGGTTTTTTAAGAAAAAAATGTCAAAATGTCCTTCCGCGCGCTCTTGCGGATTCGTAGGAAAACCAACACTTTTAACCTGTCTCTCGCTCTTTCTCTGCTTCATATCTATCATACGTAACACATCTACTTGTGTAATCGCCTTCCCAGGAAATTGCCTCAAAAATGTGACCAACTATCTTGGCAGTGCGTACCATCTCACGTGTACCGTGTACCACATCTTCTCAGGTTGCCTCACACATGTGACGAATCTCTTTCTATCTCTCTCTCCTCTGGCTCTCTGTCTTGCTCTCTCTCTCTCTCTCTCTGTCTTTGTACTATGTATGTCATGCGCAACAAATGCACGATGCGGGGCACATGCGGGGCCCAAACAAGTGATCAACCTCTGCGGGTGTGTACTCCACGCCAGTGTAGTATCCACGATCGTCCGCGCGCCACGAAGTGAAGTGTCCTGACGTCATAGGGCGGGAAGCTGGGTGTGGGTGGTTCCCGAGAGTCGTGTGGATGTTTGGTAGAGCTTGCATTGCCCCCCCACGAAGTGGGGGTATTGGCTGGCGTCGCATGAAAACCCTGGCACTGGGGAGAACACTGAGCGTTCGGGTAAAATGATTGTTGTTGTTGTTGTTGTTGTTGTTGTTGTTGTTGTTGAACTATTATTACTTCTAAAGAATAATTATTGTTGGGCCCCCTGGTGCACGCCCCCCTCGCCGCGCCTAGGCCGCAGCCACATTTTCATCATTTTCGTGAGGAAGTCTCAGGCAAAACGGGGGAGTCCGGATCCGGTTGTTTTGTTGACGCCCGCTTTCCCTGTCAAAAAACAATATAAAATGACATGTCTTGTTCTAACATAGCCAAACTTCAAGAATCCTTTGCAAAAAATGACACGAAGTGCACACTCGCGCGCGCAAGATGAAATCCTTCCAAAACCTTAGTTTTCGTAGCGATTTTAACATAAAAACATGAAAAACCCAATGGTTTTTCAAAAAAAAAGTTTCAAACATTCATCCCGCGCGCTCTTGCGGATTTCTTAGGAAACCCAATACTTTTTCAACATTTCTGTCAAACGGGCTCTTGCGAGCAACTTTTTCACGTGCTTCGAACTTCTGCAACAACGGTTGCGCGCCTGCCAGGGCCATCATCCCTGTCAAATAATACCATATGGGACACATTCGTTTTTTCTTCGCGCGCGCACGCCGAAATCTTCAAACACCATTGGGTTTCTTAAGAATTTCAGCACCGCGTATCATAAAATCGCACGAATCGCACCGTAGGTCCTCGAAAAACACGTGCACGGATTTTCCACATTTCTACCCGCGCGCGCTGTCCGAATCCTTAAAATCAAATGGTTTTTCAACATTTATGTTACATGAGCTCGCGCGAGCTACTTTCGCACGCAAGTCACTGTACCCATGCGCCAGTGTAGTAGCCAAGGTCGTCCGCAGGCCACGAAGTGAAGTGTCCGAACGTCATAGGGCGGGAAGCTGGGTGTGGGTGGTGGCGAAGAGTCGTTTGGAAATTTGGTAGAGCTTGAACCGGCCCCCCCACAAAGTGGGGGTATTGCCCGCCTCCTATGAAAACCCTGGCACTGGTGAGAACGGAGTGTCCCCACGTGCTAGTAGTTGTTGTTGTTGTTGTTGTTGTTGTTGTTGTTGTTGTTGTTGTTGTTGTTGTTGTTGTTGTTGTTGTTGTTGTTGTTGTTGTTGTTGTCTCCGTCACCGTTGCCGTTGCCGTCGCCGTCGCTGTCGCCTTCGCCGTCGCCGTTGCCGCCGCCGTCACCGCCGCCGCCGCCGTAGTCGTCGTCGGCGTCGTCGTCGTCGTCGGCGTCGGCGTCGTCGTCGCCCTCGTCGTCGTCGTCGTCGTCGTCGTCGCCCTCGTCGTCGTCGCCCTCGTCGTCGTCGTCGGCGTCGTCGTCGTCGTCGTCGCCAACGTCCCCGTCGC